AAAAATAAAATTAATTTTTTAAAATGTCTTCTAATTTATTCCTTATCACATTAAATTCTCATGTTTCATATTTTCTTAACTTTAAAAAAAAGAAGGTATTTTTTAGATAATTTTTACAGTTATTACGTGCTAAATAATTGTGTATATACACTACAAAAAATTTTAATAGATATAGAAAGAAAAAAAATTTCAAAGATGTTAATAGAATGGAAAAAAAATTAAAAGATTACGATGAAAATTATAATGAAATCCTCATCTTAAAATATTACAGAGACTTGCAGATGTCAATTTTTCCGGTCCGATCCCAATTTAACCCTCCTTTCAACCCGGTATAGTTTAGATATAAAAAAATCAGGTCGGATTTATAAATTTATAATTTTAGACCCACACCTGATTTCTGTAGTCCCGGTTTGGATTTCAAAAATAGTACCATTTTAAGACTCATTCCGGGCAGAGCGCAGGTCTGACTAATATCACTAATCGTGAGCGTGTGAATTTTTATAAAAGTATGTGTCTTAAAAAATATAAGGCTAACAAAAGAAATTCGGTTTATTAAGTTCCATGTTAAACAATTTAGAAAAGTAAGGATTTCATTCAGAATTTACCTTTTCCCTTTTTAAAAATAAAAAAGATAATATAAGATTTTTCAATAGTTTTGTCGCATAATATCTATTTTTATTAAATCGATTTATATAAATATTGAGGAGCTTAGCTGATGGTGCGCTTTTATATACAGTTTCCTGAAAATTTGAATTATATTAGTAATTATTTTAAATTGTTTACCCTCATACTTATTTTTTAAAAAGAATTGTTCATAATAATCCTATCTAACATCATTTATATGGATGGTTATTCTTTCAGCACCCTTAATTCCAGTCCTCTGCTGTCATTCACCTTGTCCTCCGTTAGGTTTAAACTCATTAAGTCTCCGGCAATCATATCCTTCCATCTTCTATTATGTATTACTTCGAACTTCTAGTCTTGATTATTTTATTCATTTGAGAATGAGAGGGGGGGGGGGCACTAGGGTAGGAGTATCAACTTTTATTTGATAATGATATTTTATAATATTGCAGGATTTTAAAATAATTTTGGCCTGATTTTTAGGAAAATTAAAATACGACAGCAGGAATGTTATATGATCCTTTGTAATTTTTTCCCAGCTATTGATATTATTTTAAATATATTTTAAAAATTTGTCTTAGCTCGGATTTTATATTTATAAAAAGTTGAGGATGGCCCGGTTTGTAATTTATCTTTAAGTCCGACCAGGTTTCTTAACCGCTTTGGGACGGATATAAAGTCTCTGATTTAATTTATACAAATATTTTAATATATTAGATTTTATTGAAATATTATTTTTAGTGTTTTTGTTTAACTAAAAATTAGGAAAATAAATAGTTCAAATTCATTTTAAAAAGTGGAGAAAGTTCAAAGGTTCTTATTTCCTTTTCAAAAACCCTAGTAAATCATATTTATTATATTAGTTGTAAAGGTTCACAGATAACAAACGAAATTATTAATGGCACATGTGTTAAATAATTATTATAAGATTATAAAACCACCATAAGTTGATAATTTAAGGGTATCTCTCCTCCTTATAAAATTGGCTTTTACATGTGTATTACATATTATATAAATATAAATGTTAACATTTATGAACAACTTTAATGTATAATTAAAATAACCGATTAAATGTTTAATTACCTTACTGTTATTGCTATAATAAGAATCGGGCTAATATACAAAGAATTTATTCTTCAGAATTTTTACTGACAAAAAAAATCAAGGATACTTTTGAAAATTTACATTTAAAACAAAGGTAATAATGTATGAAAAATAACATTCATTTTTAATTTATTTGTTTTATTATAAAATAATCAAAATAAAATTTAAAAAATATTATTTTCCCAAATCATATTACAATAATTTATTTAGTAATATTATAACTAAATGGAAACATTTAATATTTTTTTTTGTCATTTCAAATGTAGCCTTAGTTAGCCCAAAGGAAATTACTATGCTAAAGTAATATTATTTTTAAGTTTTTTTAAAAAAAATATAATTATTTATTTACAAATAAATTAACACTTTAATATTAAAATTTTATTGTCATAATAATTTTTTTTAAGATATTATAATTTATTAATTTCTAGTCGATGACTAATTAATTAAGATATAATTAATAAGAAATTATTTTTCCTCTATATGAAGAAGACTTTAAAAGTAAGTTTTAATAATTAATTAAATCTTGAGAATTGGGGCGAAAAATTTTTATTTTTGATAAAAAAACTAATTTGGACAAATATACCTATATCTATCTACCTTGTTAGGGTTTTAAAAAAATATAATTTTTAACACGTTCCCAAGATACATTCTCAATAAGTTATATTCCGAATAATAGCCTATTTCCCCTCGAAAATGTTACTGGGAAATATAATTTTAAGTAATAAAAAATAACTTCCCATATACTTTCCACTAGTGTTGTTAAACTGCCCGATTTGGATCGATTTTAAAAAACGGCTCGAATAAGATTTTAATCAAAATAATATTATGTAGGCCTTAAGATTTTTCTCATAGGGGGCAGAAAGGTTTGATTCTCTAATACTATTTTGAATAAAGTCATAATCGGGGTAAAAATCGACCTAATCCTGGCCGTCCACAACACTACTTTCCACCCTCACCTCCCCAAAAATTTTATACAATATATCATTATAAACAATAATTTTAAAAAAGAATAAGTAAAAGTTAATAATTTTAAAATAATGACTATAATTAAAATTTTCAAAAAAAAGCATTTTTATAAAAAAAGTGACAAAATTTTTTTTTATAAAATTGTAACATAGTCAAAGCCCACAATAAGTCGACCTAAAGACCTCCAATAAAATTTATTGGTCCCCCATTAAAAAAAATCCTGGCCTACGCCTGATACCACCCTAAAAATTTTATTTTGTATGTACGAATAAAATCATAATATTATTTCTATTTTTTATAAGAAAACTAAATTTTTTCGAATTTTAGTACACAACAAAAGGTATTGATTCAAATCATAATTAAAGTTACATAATTAAAAAAATACTATTTTTTAAAATGAATTAATAAAAAATATTTCAAGAATAAAGTTTCCCTAATTGCATTTTCTTGAGATATGCGATTTTTGTAACCATTGTGCCTTAAGAAAATAGACTCTCACAAAGTGTAGAAGAGCCCTAATTAGATAATAAAAAAAAATTTGTCCATTTTATCCAAAACAGAATATAGTTATTCATAAAACTTCGACTACTCTAGGTAGTGGGTTGGGCAAATACAAATCTATTGTTAAAAAATGTATTTTAAATATAAATTCTAAATACGTATAAAATGTTTTCAATCATAGTATTTAAATTCAAATGCTTTGGCAAAAACTTTTTCCACAAATTTGAATAATACTTTTGCAAATCAATTTACCTAGCACACTATCAATTTTTTACTGAAATAATATTTTTAAATTAACCATTTTCTAAATTTATCAAATATCTACAGTAATATGTAAGCATTATAAATAAAATATTAATTGTTGCAGTAGTACCATATCACATAAATTATAATAATTGCAAATATTATCAATATCACCATTTTACAGAGCATATAATAAATTTGTGGAGGATCCGCAACATATTATTTTATTTTTAGATGAGCTGATATTACATTTATCTTTCTTTGATTATTAATGATATCTTGGAAAAATATCCATCAAAAATTTCACATTAGAGGATATTAATATTGTCACAGAATCCCTGCAAAAATATCTTATAAACATCGCTAACTCAGTTCATAAAATCAAATATTTAAATAAATAAATATGTTTAAATTTTATAATTCAATTTATTAAATTTAAAAAAAGTATTTGTATTCGTTTGAAAATTGTAAATCATAATAAATACCAAATACTTTTTATATTTTAGCATTTAAAATACAAATAATAAATATTTTCTAAAATATTCAACTAAATACAAATATAAAAAATGTATTAGTAAATTAAATACAAGTATTCACTTGACTGCCCAACCCTGTCTAGGTTATTAAAATTAGATTTAAATCCTGGTTTCCCTTCCATTCTTTAGGATATTTCCTTTTAGTTCTGATTGCATAATCCTATAAGTTATAAATATTTTGTTTTGATGGTTTTCGGAAATTTTAAACAAGAAGTCACTATAAATAAATCTATATTGGAAGTACCAAAAAAATAAAATATTTGATTGGAGTCTTAATTTAAACATTTTTTAATTATGAATATTTGCAATAAATCCAAAATTAAAGGATAATTTAAATATATAAAAATTTATAATAATTCGTATGAATAATTAAGTTTACTATTCTCATTTTTTTTATTATTCAATTCAAATTCATATTTTAAACCCAAATATTCGTATTCTTTGATTTCGATTCAATTATCGAATTATATTTGATAGCCCACCCCCACACACATTGTCATCGTTTGCTCTTATTGTTCTAAAAGTTATTCTTTTATGATATACAGTTCTCGTAAAATAGTTTTGCTCAAAATAGAAAACATTTTATACGATCGGGAATTAAAATTTCAGCAAACCTATTTCGGTAAATAGTCTGCATAAAAAAATTATCTTAGGCGACATGCACATCTATTTATTATTAAATATTACCCTTACCCTCATTCATATATGGGTTTATTTTACTGAAATCAAGTAGATGAGTTAAATTTTCTTTTCTTTGAACCATTTTAAGAATTGCGAAATTTGCCTTATACTTTTGGAACAAAATCTTAGTAGGAATGCCCATGTCTAATATGTATACTATAACGCCTAGACCGCGAAAACACAAAATTCTATTATGTAAACCAAATATAAATTCAGTATGAGGCTATTTACCGACACTATATGTAAACGTAGTACAATTCTAAAATATACTTGTCCTTCCTCAGATATGACATCCCTCCCTCCATCCTCCCCACTCATTTTAATATCAATATATATAATGTTTACCTTATAAATATTCTTTTGTAGAAGTCGGGTATTATATTTCCAATCCAATATTATATATTTAAAATTTTATCAGATCACAAGATAAAGTTTTTTTTTTAATTTTCTTTATTAACAATAGGACATCATCTATCAAATTTCGAAAAAGGATTGTCAAAATTTATGCGTTTTTATATTATATGTATACTTAAAAAAATTGTAGTTTTTAGAAATAAATATTGATATTTTAAACTTCAAACTATTAATCAAAAAATACTTATGACTTGCCTTGGCTTAAGTATAAGAGATGTATGACACATTTTTATACTTATCAAACTAGAAATTTGTTTAAAGGTAACCTAACATACTTTTTATATTGCTTCACAAGATAGCCATAATTTTATTGACTTGATATTGAAATTTTATTTTAAGGATACATTTTTAAATCTTTATAATTTTATATTTTTTTAGAGAACACGATTAAAAGTATGCGTGTTATGTTCAGCTAAAAATGAATATATTTTTATTATATAAGGAAGATAGTAAAATATAGGTTACTACTATGCCATATTTATTTTCCAATGTGTATGTGTCATAGGGTTGGAATTTTTAAAATTTAAATCATTAGGTGCCTTTTTTTAATTTTGAAAGATTTAACCTTTGACCATTTCGTGGGGTTCATACAGTTTTAAAAAACATTGCTTAAAATCCTGTAAGCCACCAGCATAATAATTTTGACTATACAAGATGTATGGAAAATTTTTAATTTGGTTGAGTGCTTTTGAGATATCAAGGATTTTTAATTCATTTTGATCAACTCAAAAGTGTTTAAAATGCTATAATTTTAATATAAATGAGAATTTTGGTCTAGAAATTGATTTAATTTGTTATTTATGATAAAAATAACGATTATTATTTGTAAAAAATAATTTTTAACCCTATAATTATTTTTATAAATTTGTTATTAATGGATCAAATTTTTAAATAATTATCATATAGTTAGATGAATGTTTTTTTTAAATATATTTTATAAATATCATGACAAAAATGACTGGGGAGTCCGTATTTACTAACGAATACGCTCACAAAGTTTTATTATGTATGTACCATGTGTATAATAGAGGAGACTGGGGCTAGTCAAACCTATTTTTGCAAAATTAGCTATACTCCTCCTGTGTATTTTTAGACATTATATAAAACAATATATGAATAGATATCTAAAACTATACTCTATAAAGGTGCCTTATAAAATAAAATTTAAAAAAATTTAATCATATTTTTGAAATTTGATTTTTTGCAAAAGTTGAAATTTTATCCAACAAGTCCCAATACCAGGGCTAAGGGAGCCACTTCAAGGGGCTTCCTAGACCATTTGGTTTTTTTAGGTTATCTTATAATCAATTGAAATGCATTTTTATTTATTAATAATGATACATATAGATTAATTTTATTGTTCAAAATATCATAATGTTTATAAATTGAAGCTAATTATATATAAAAATTGAAACTTAATTTTGGTTAATTTAATAAATCGAAGTTTGAACATGTACCATGTTCTCATCCTTGGCACATTCCGCATGTACCACTCCGCTGTTATGATGTTTTATATAATCCAGCTTACAACAAAGATAAATATCCTTGTGAGTAATTTTTTCTTTCTTGCAAATTATATTAATTGTAACTTAAATACTAATACAATAATATTAATTATAAAAATACGAATACAATAATATTATACTTCATCATAATTTTAATCCATCATATGCTAAAATTTATGAATAACATTTAAAAATAATATATAAATAATATTTTAATCTCTTTAGCATTACGACTTAGATTTTTATTTACATAATTACTACTATTAAATATTGCGAAAATTTGATTTTATGTTAAATTACATAAAATTAATAAAATAATACTATAATTCATCATAATTTTAATTTATCATATGTTAAAATATAAGAACATCAAATAAATTACATTTAAAAATAATATATAAATAATATTTTAATCTCTTTACCATTACCAGTAAGATTTTTATTTACATAATCTCTATTATTGAATATTGCTAAATTTTGATTTTATTGTTTAAGAATTACATAAAATTTATATAATACTATACCACATCGTAATTTTAATAAAATATATATTTAAATATAAGAACATAAAATTTACAAATTACATTTAAAAATAATATATAAATAATATTTTAAATTCTTTACCATTTAGATTTTTATTTATATTATTAAATATTACCTAAATTTGATTGTATTGTTAAAATTACAGAAAATTATTGTGATTATATCTTAAAAATAAGATAGATAATGTCGATAAATTTACCTGTTGGTTGGCTATTATTGATTTACAATCTTCATATTTCATATACCTTAATAGCCTAATTACATTAATCAATTTTGCAAATTTTGGCATACTTCTAGATAATCATTATTATAAATTCTAGGACCTTTTGTAATTTTATAGGATTTATATTTTCGCACCATATCGAATAATGTAATAATTCCTAAAAAAATCATTCAAATGGATTGATGTGTATGGTTTAGCAATCCCCGCTAGCTAAATTTACTAATCATGATTGGAAAAATATATCGACATAATAAATAGTCATAAAACTTTCACAAATTATAAAAGAGTATTAAAACTTTGCTACAAAATTTAATTTATATATAAATGCTTATATATTTTAATAAAATTTAAAATTCTGTAAAAATCTTTTAAATTTTTCATAAAAATTTTATTTCTTAAAAAAATTTTTAATAATTAATTATTTCAAAAGGTCGTTCGTCTATAGATGTAAACTAATAAAAACTATATTAGGATAAAATTTTAACCTTCTGATGTATTTGATTTTAAAATGAGATTAAATGGTTTACCAAGTCCCTGGGTTTACCTAACCCCAGTCTCCCCTAATTTTACATACCCTATAAATTTTAAACAATTTTGCCATGATATTTTGGGTTAATTTTGATTATTAAAAATCGAGTTAAATTTAAATTGGTTTATAAGTTTTAGGCAAAATTGTCTGAAATTTATAGGGTAGGTATACTATATACATGATGGAATAGAATTCTGCCAAAATCAAAAATCCCCAAAAGGTAAAAACTAATGATACAAAGGATTTAAATCTTAATGATACCTCCATACTAGTGCAGCAAAACTGGATTACACTAAATTCCATTTATTGACATATACATAATTAATTACATTGAAAATATAACAAAATATCAAAGTGAGACTTGACGGATAATCGGAAATTTGTCCCGCCAAAATTTTTCACTTCAATACCAAAAAATTTGAAATTTGGAATATAAAATAACAAATAAAAACAAATAAGAAATTATTTTCGAAGGATATTCATTCATAGGTTCTTTATAAAGATTATTAAATAATTTGTGAAACCTTGGACTTCTACACCCCCTAAATCCATTACTATATTACCCTCACCCCTCTCAAATCTCAAAAATGTTCCCCACCCCACACTTCTCTATATTTTACCATAGTTAAATTTTTTTAGATATTTGCCGAATAAGTTTTTAAATTTGACAAAAATGTTTCCATATAATACCATCAGAGGAGTGAGTTAAAAGGACTTAGAAAAATTCCAAATCTAAAGCCATCTATCATCATTTGTATCTATTTATAAAATTTGAAGATGCTTTGAATTAAATTTAATGTATTTTTTCTATTTAACCCTTTCAGGGGAGGAAAAAAGGTGTCGATAATTTTTTATCATAGTGAAAAGTTTTATTTTAGTCTTTATAAATGAAATACAATTCAATTTTTTTAAAAAAGTAGTATTATATGGATAACTCCTTAAAAATAAATAATCTTATCGTTTTTTAAATTTAACATTTGTATAAAAATAATAAATGTCATATATGATTAACTCCTGTTTCAAATATAAATATTATATAACTTATGTAATAAATTTTATAATTAAAAATAGATTTGATTTTAATATTTTGATGTAATCAAGTCAGGTAACTCGCGCTAGTAGCAGAAATATGATAAAATGCATGGTGCCAGGATAAAAATTGAGAACCAGAAAATTCAGTCTGTTTTCATATATCAGATAATTAATGGTCTTCTTTCTAAAGAGTATAGGTAATTGATTACAATAATTTTCCCCTTTAAGTCAATTTTTAGCAGGTTAAAAACCGGATAAATCGAGTTTTTAGTTAAAAACTATCACCTTGGCAAACAACTATAAATTAAAACGCCATAATGAACGGATTTTCTTAAGCACGCGCTGGTAGATTGAGCTGAATTAGCCGACATTTAGCCATTTCCTAACTATGCTGAAGAGAGAAATATATTTTACATACAAATCTTTAAAATTTCTATCCAAAATCATATCTTGATATATAGTCGTACAAAAAAAATGCTAGAAGTTATTTTTGCTAAACTTGATCTAAAATGATGTATAAATAAAAGTTTTATTGTAATTTGGAAAGAATAAAATGTTTCATTGTGGTTTAATTTTGACTTAATAAAATTTGAAAAATTAAGATTTTAAAAATATTTAGAAATTTTATTTTAAAAAAGTGTTATGGATTTCATGGGTAGGCACAGGAGGCCAGCATTTTAGAAAGTCAATTTTCTATGAGGCAATTATCCGGGGCCTGCTTACCAGTAACTCTATTTTGTAATTTCAAAGTGTTCTATTTTAATTAAAAAAGTTTTCTTTTGGCCCTGACTAAAAGGGCATCTTTATTTATTGATTTCACTCACCTCAATATTTGAGTTACCAGCTTTTTTTAAAAAAATGGATTTTAATTTTATAATAAAAATAGATAAAATTAAATAAGTAAACGATATCAAATAATTCTAAGTAAAAATAATAATATTGATAATAACTATTAAAAAATTTAAAACTAATTTATAGTACATCTTATAATAATATATTTTCATCATTATTTTGCCCTAACCCAAATAATTATTTTAAGATAAAATATGAAGATATGGATAATTTATCTTAGAAACTAAGTGGTATAAAGTAAAACTTTAAAAAAATAATCGCCTGGGTTTATTTACCATTAGTAAATAAATGAAAGGATCAGTAACCTAGACAAGTAAAGATTTTGTTCTTACTTTCCTCATAAAAAAATATCTCGAAATTATAGAAGGTAAATAACGATATCTCTAAAATGCTTAATAGAATTAGAATTGTATATAACTGATTTAAATTAAGGTCAATTTGGTTAAATTATATAATATAATTAATAATACGTTTCCATCAAAACTCAAAAATTTCTAAAACTTAGTGTGAACTTATGAAGTGTCATAATTAATTTGTCGGCATGAAACTTTACCTAATTTTCAGTTTATCCTTGCTCAGTCAATATAGAAATTTAGTAAATTTTTAAAAAAGCTTTCTAAATATGAGAATACTATTATTGTATTGTACAATTTACTATGGTAATTATGTTCGCTTTATAAGAATAATAAAAGTTAATTTTAAAAAATATCTACTTTATCATTTTAAGGCTTTAATATACTCATTTTAAATAGATTTGTTTATAAAATGATTATTGAGGGAAAGTTTTAAATTAATTTAACTTAAATTATAATTAAAGAATAGTATCTCATACTAAGAAGTCTAGGAAATAAATAATATTAAGAAATAAAGTGAGAGTGTTAATTTAAAAAAGTTTTGTAAACATAACGTTATTATAGAATAACCTTGCATCCACAGTTAGCGCAGTATACAAAATAAATATAATAATTTTACATTGATTTTTATAAATTTCGCAGCAAATTCGTATTAACTGTGAATGAAGAGTAACGTGGAAGACATTACTTTTTTTGAGTAACGTCCACGATGATAAAGGCAAATATAACTAAAAGTATGACTGTTAAAAAGTTTTATTTAATATTTCTTGAAAATAAATGAAATAGATGGCCTATGACAATTTTTTTACACTTTTTATCATAACAACTCGATTATTTAAATTTAATTAAGGCAAGATCCAAAAAAATAAATTGATGTCATGCTTTAATAAGCATGTAAAAATTTGAGATTTCTCAAATTAAGGTAAAGGATTGGTACGAGTAAACCTAAGAGGCTGAAGTTACCAATAAAAATTGAAACCTTAATGATTTTTTTATCCAAAATTGAGCAATATCCGTTGCCATAAAGTCCATCTATCGCTCTAAATAGAACCAAATGAAGCGTTTTTATAGTGTTGAAACTAAACACAGAAATGAAAGTAATTAGAGAGATAGATAAAATTCCTGACCATTCTTAGGGATAGTGTTAAGAAGAAATCTTTAAGAGGTAAAAAATTTTAATTTTATTAACTATATATGTTAGTATATTATGTATAAATCACATTTGCAGCTTGAAAAAATATTTTTTTTATAAAACATTTAGATGTTTTTATTTATATAAATAATTATGAATACATATTTTTTTAAAAATTAAATTTATACATGTTATATATATATATAATTAAATGTCGAAAATGATTGTTAATTATAATGGTTTTTATATATAATATAATGTTGTTGTGAAGAATACTATGTGATTTTTGTTTTGTGGAATCGGGAACTGTGGGGAAAAAAATATAATGGCGCAAAATTCACAATATATTGCCGATTTTTGTTTATAATTAAATGCATTATTAATTAATTTTTTTTCATTTAAAAAATATGTAAAATTTTCTAGCTGGTTTTAATTATTTTATTGTCTCTATAAAGATATTTATGTGATAAGAGGAGATCATTAGTATATAATTGAAGAATTTAAATATGATTAACTTCAACACCAATACATTCCTTAGATTAGGCTAAATCCTCATATGAACAACTTTCATTGAGTTCTTGTATTGCAATTGTTTTTAAATATAAATAATTCAAAGGCGAAATAACTTGCAAAATCTTAATCGTTGCAAATAACAATCATTTAATAGTAGCTATCTTCATCGAATAATTTATTTATTACACAAGGGGCTACATATTCTACCGTGTATCGTTTCCAGCTTATTTTAATTTTTATTTAATGTTTATCGCATTTTATACGTTTATTATTATTATTATTGTAAGGGTTGTTTTCATCAAATTCAAAAAATGTTTCCTTTATATATGATTGAGGTTTAACGGTAAACCTTAATTTTGTGGGATAGATAACCCCATCTTCTCGAGTTAAAGTGATTGGCACAGTATATACCTCAATGGAAGGCGAAACGATATTTGCCATATTTTCAAACTTTTTATCACTATTCAAAATTGTGTTTTTGTTGGAGTTAGTATTGGAGTTATTTTTGGTATCAGATAATGATATGGAAGGAATGGAGTTATTTTTGGTATCAAATAATGATATGGAGGGAATGATGTTGGTCAAATGACTCGAGCTTTCTAAAGAATCTTTGAAGCGATTAAGGTCAGGTACTACGAACATGAGGCATTCAGAACATCTTAATATTGGTGTTTTAATATTATAAAAAAATGTGAATAATTCAATCAATTTAGTATAAGTGTAAAATATGGTATGTTTAATACTTAAAATTTTTATTTTTAAAGAAAATAATAAGGTCATATCAACGCGTTTGAGTGCATAATGTTAAAAGATAGCAAGCCAAAAATCGAGCGTTCAAAATTTTGTAATCAAAATTTGAGTTTTTAAGCGTTTGCATATTACGCTCAAAATTATTTATATTTTTAAAAGTAATAGGTTATAATATAATGTTGTGCAGATTTAATGGAAAATATTTCCATATTTTTAATTCGTTTAATAAAATTATTTAACTTGTAAAAATTGATAAGAATATATAAATATGTTATAATAACAATTTTTTGCAACTCAAATAATTTTATTTGCTAAAACTCCTGTATAATTTATAAATAACTAGTTAGTATATTTATATTTTTCATTTTTTATATAATGATAAACAAACGCTAAAACTCTTTGGTATGCATTAGTCTAAGTAGCAAGTGTCAATGACAGATATAGAAAGTTAGGTTTAAAATTAAATTGTTGGCCTTTGTATTGGTCTTTGGTCTACGCTTTACCTAATTGTCCATCATATATGAAAATAAGATGTGTAAACTATTATATTTTCCATCAGAATTGGATTTATATGTAAAAGTTTATATAAACATTTTTTTATATTTAAAAAAATTTGAATTTCAAACCTAAAAATAGTCTCCGCTTCGACATCACCTAACCATACTGTCATTTTGGTAGTGAAATTTTCACCCTTCAATTCGGCTAATGTGTTATCTTCAGCTCCATTTACCTATTTAATTAAATTTATATTTAAAATGGGGTTTGATTAAATCTATATAAAATTAATAATGAAATATTTTTTCTGGACTCCCACAAAACTATCTAAGTCCATTACCAAAATTAAGAAATGTCAAGGCCAACTTTGAAAAATCACCACAAATGAACCAAATCACTTTCAAATAATAATTATATGGAATACTGCATTTAATAGACACATTCAAAGATTTATTATAGAAATTATATAATTTAACATAGATTTTTACTTCCAAGCTCTGGACGATAGGTACAGGGGTGACTTGGTCAGTTATATTTGGCAGAGCCTCGCAAAAAGTGTACTCACTTCTGTCAGTGCTTATGATGGTCCATGATGCCCCATCCGATATAGTTTCCTTGTTCAAGGGGTCTTCCTTGCATGGAACGGCCTATTTTAATTATTGATACAATAATATATAGTATACTCATAGGAAAAAAAATGATCAAAGTTTATTTATTTAATAATATAACTTTCAATTTCATACTTGATATTGAATAATTTTTTCTTGGTTAAGGCATAGGTACATGCGATCAGTGTCTTTAAGGTAGAAGGCACATTTGTGGAGCTGAGAAACGGCGTCCATTGCATTTGTATAAACTATTTGCTTGTCTACTTTCCTGATGATCTATATAAAGTAAATATATATCAAATATATTAATAAAGATTATAATTATATATATCGTATTAGAATATGAAAGCCATGGGAATTGGAAATCTGACTTTTAAACGAAAAATCTGATTTGACCAGAAATGTATTCCAGCATGTATAAAGTGCCCCCACTGTAAATTTCAGATAATTTTGTGTGAACCTTTAAGCTGGAATACATTTTAGGTCAAATTAGTTTTTCCAAAATTAAACATCATTATAAATAATTTAAAAGAGATTCTAAATCCCCGTGGTATTCATATTCTAATACATAATTTCATTAAGAGTAATGAAAGCTATGTTTTTTTAAAAAAAGTTAATTTATATCAATAGAAGTTAGGATTTACACCATGTATTTTTTTTAAGTTTAATAATATTAGGGCAATATATAGTCATGACTATTATTGTTAGCCTAAAATTTATAAATTATCTAATCAGTTAATCAATTTTAAAAATTCGCATTATATCTCAATAATCTTCCAGGTGTCAAAAAAAGAACCACTGAAGAGATGTGATCAACTTCTTAAAGATTTCATTGTTTTCAATAAAAGCGATAACTCGGGTTGGCTGACCATCTTCAAAAAAAGATAAAGATACTACGAGTGCTTGCAGTGGAAAAAAATGAAATAAAAAATTTCATGAAAATTAATCATTTGGGAAAACTATTAGATCATATCTGTAATTTATAATATTATTTACTAAGCGTGGCAGAGCCATGCCCGTTATAGAGCAAACCAATTTGATGGTGGACCCGTAATGAATATAGCCTTCTTGCACATAAAATTCTTCGTTTTCGGATTCGTCATCATCCACTTTACAAAAAATATTTTTTCAATTTTGATTACCAAATTAAATTATACTAGAAATATCTTTAAAAAAATTTAAATATTATTTGCCAAAATAATAAAATTACTAAAAATATACAAGAATTATATATTTCATAGTTTATCCGTTAAAATTACCATTGATCTATTTATTTTATTTTTACTTTGGTTAATTTTATTGATAATTTAAAAATAGATATATATTTCAAATTTAATAATTTTTATAAAGATTTTGAATCATGATTATAAATGGTAAAAACATACGAAAGGGAAAAGAGTTCCAAAAGAAGAATAAATTCTCAAAAAATTAGATGGGAAGATATCTCTATTGACGAAAACAAATTCTTCGTTGGAATCTTCATCCTAGCTCTCATTTATTTCCCAAGGCCTAATTAATTATTGGTGGACCTCATCCTAAGAGATTTTTAGGATGTGGGTTTCGGAGTCTTATTTCTAAGGACTGAATAATCTAGCTCAAAAATCGATATAAAAAAATTTTTTTTTTTTTTTTTATAAATTTACAATCTATTTATAATAAAAAATAGAATAAAGAAGACATTCCTTATAGATATAAAATCCTTCAAAAAAATATATAACTAAAATAAAAATCAACCACTGTAAAAAAATATTTAAAAAACCAATACTAATTTTGGCTGAGCAGATATAAACCTAGCACTTAAATAATAAATAAAATAACCAACCATACTTTGGCAGATAAAATATTATGTAATTTTAATATTTATTATATATATTTTTCATATTTGCCATCCTTAGTTAAGAATTTAAATTTGTTGAAAAACACAATAAAAGATGCCCATTTAGACATAGAGTATGTATGATGCAATGACATATATAATACCTAGACTGACGATTCATTCATCAAGATGCATTTTTAAGCGTCGTTAAAAGCAAATCAGCTGGACCCGCCATTTTGGTAACACATATAGTAATTATTCTCATGTTAAAAACTACTATTAAATTGATAACTTGTTTCCTTATTATCTCGATGATCCGGTAATTCTTTTATAAAGTTTGCATCAAATATAGGAATAAATTAGGCTCTCGTTTAAAATTTTAATAATGATTAGTGTAACCAAGATGGCGTCTACAGCTGATTTGCATTGATGTACACTTTTAATGAATGAATCGTCAGTCTAGGTATTATATATGTCATTGGTATGATGTCATTTTCATATTTTTTTTTAAATGTTCGATTTGGCGCCCTTAGACCATGCCTAACTACGTTAAGCTGTAGAGACGGTCCTACGTACGTTATCTGTTTTTGGCAAGCTGAACAACATATACAACATTAGGCTAATTATTATAGGTCCTTTCTAGAAGATAAAAAATTTTTAAAGTGAGCTTGCTCCAGAAATAAACATGAAAAATGTAAAGTAAAATGTTTACATAAATGAATGGTGAAAGCACCCCAGTGAGTTGAACTAGCGTGAAAATTTCCATTTTCAACGTGCAAATAGCGGGTGCTAACGGTTTGGGACCTGAGTCTGTTGAATAAAGCTATGTGAGAGCCAGAGGCTATGCAAACTATTAAAAGAATAATTAAAATTATGCTAATGTTTCAAACTTTATGTGATATAAATTAATTGTTTATAGTTAACTCAAGTGAGAAAAAATGTACAAATTGAATTATAATGAAAAGTTCTATAGTTTTATTGAACATTTTATTTAATTAAAGAGTGTAGTCAGATTTATAAGAAATCGTCATTTTCAAGGTGATCAATATCTATCACTCACGATCGCTGTATTTGAAGGATTGTTTCTTTTTGGATGGTTTGGAAATAACTTTGATTTTTTGACTAGGAAAAACGCCGAGATCTTTTTGATCGGAATAGAACATTTTGAGATTGAGGTAAAAATGTTTTCTCTTATCACTATCCGATATAAACAACGTCTTAGCCGCGCAGTAACGCTTTGATAAACACATATAAAAAAAAATTATAATTAGCAAAAACATTTGTATAAATAAAAAATATGGTATTTTTTTGTAAGTGAGTTAAGAATATCCTTCATCAAACCGATTATTTTTTTTAGAATCTTTACAGTTGGTGGATTACAGAGACTTCTCTAGAGGAAAGAGTATTCAGAAATGGCTAAATTTAATTTGAGCACGCCTAAGATATTTTATATTTGAGTAAAAAAAATTTAAGAAGGCCAAAACACCATTTACTTTTAAGCACATGTAAATAAGAAGATCCAGCGTCGCCCGCAACCTCTTTGCTTGCATAATGATATTTTACTTTTAAAAAAAATTATATGCTACAAAGGGAAGGAATATTATTAATAATCTAATAGTAGAGAAGAAGTCATTATGATCTTTAATAAGAGCTAAACAGGTGTCTATTAAATAATCACTTAATTTATAAGATTACTTTATTCCCAAAAAAATTTATTTTTATAAAAAGCTATTATTCTCTCAAAGTTACACCAAAAAGAGTTTAGGTCTTTGGACTATACCTTAAGCCGAAAAATGCTTCTACCTTGAGGATTAAAATGATAAAATCCACTAGCGTCGAGTATGAGCCGAATTAGCCTAAGCACTAATATTGAGGACGAAAACATTGTTTAATCGTTCATCTTAATTATTTTTTATTTTCGGTTACCTTGCCTTCGAAATAAAGAATTTGGGTTTCTTGGTCCGAATTAGCTATGCCCATAAAAGCGCAAATCTGTCTTTTGGCCAGTTTACGATTGTACTTGATGGGTTGTTTGAAATCAAACTCAAGACCCATGAGCTTGTCGTCCCAACCTTTGCCAAAAAGATACACGCAGGGTGGGGGGCAAAAGAATCTAATAAATATATCATTATTTTAGATAATATGTATTATTACTTAATATTTTATTAACCCTTATTTCAACTAAGTTTATTTTTTAACCATAATTTTAAAATTATTTTCTCTCTATACGATTTTTTAATTGATTCGGTCGTTCGGGAAGTAACAACAAATCCTCCCCGTTTTAATTAAAGGATATTCTATTTTTTATGAGACTCTGGTGTGCTAGATAATACATTAATAGGACATTAAATCAAAGCAGAGATTAGTATCTAAGGTTTGACTTTACATTAACAACGCTCTAGAAATTTTGCATTTAGAATTCTAATAATTCCATGAAATAACAAAAGAAAGGAATTAATGATTACTAATTAACTAGTGATAATTTTTAGCATTTATTTCATTTTCTAAACTTAAAATCATATTTGCTCCGAGATGGTATGAAATTAATTTATAATTTAAATAACTCCGGTAAATTTAAAAAATTAAAGGAAATAAAGAGCCCATCCTTCTATAAATTTTCAGGTTATATAAGATGATCTACTATATCCAAACCTTTTTTCGGAACCGTAAGATTTCTGGGCTACTTTGGCATGCAATATTATGATGGTTTGATCATGTTTTTTGATCAAATATTCCCTGATTATATCACTGGTGATTCTTTGTTGGCCCCGTGATTTATTATCGTCGAGAAATTTATTCGGGTTTCGCGTTAGTAAGTCAGAAGAGGAGGCGGAAGTTTCGCTGAATTTGTTATTGCTGCGATATTGTGATGAAGTGGTAGATTTGTCAAGGCTATCTTGGCTTTTACTGGAATTTTTTAAACAATTTTTGTAAAAAAAAATTGACAGATAAGTTGAATAAAAATGATGGATAAATGAGGAAAAAAAATTTAAAAGGGTGAACTCAACAAGCTTTTGAAAAATATAAAAGTTTAGATTATATAAAACTAATTTAAGACTTTAACAGGGCTGTATAAATAACTAATCCTTTTTACTAACCAACTTAGGGGAAGATTTGTAAATAGTTATTTAATAATTGTTGGACATAGAAAAGAAATTTTTCAAAATCGTATCTAAAATAATAATGTATATCTTAGAGATCTGCAAAGTTAGGTTTGGCCCGTATCCGGCCCGATCGGGCTTCGGGCCTATTTCTATTTAAAATAATCGGGTTCGGGCCGGGCCTAATATTTTTAAAAAAATTTCGCGGGTCGGGTCGGATCTTGGAAATTTTATTAAATATATCTAAATCAATTTTATATTGAATTTTTTATGTAAAATAAAAATTTTTGATTTAATGTATTGAAACTAAACGCTATATAACATATGTCTTTTATTTTAAGTAATTATAAAAATTAATTTCTATATTTAAATAAATTCGGGCCTGGCCGGGCCGGTAAATTTTTTAAAATAAATTTCGGGTTCGGGCCAGGCCGGCAAAATATTTTAAAAAAATTTCGGGTTCGGGCCGGGCCGGCAAAACTTTTTTAAAAAAAATTTCGGGCCGGGCCGGGCTTGAAAAATTAGGCCCGATGCAGATCACGCTGTTATATTAATTTATAATTTGTTAAAAAGTTAGATCGTTTTATTGCTTTTTACTTTCAAATTATAATTATGTATATTGTTATGTAAATTAAAAAAATTTTAATAAAGTTTCCAATGCCAGCTATGGAGAGGAACAAAAAATCTAATAAATATTAGATTTAAAAAAAAATTATTTGACTAATAAGAAGGTTCAAAATATTGAAAGAATTCCATGATCAGATCCTTATGAAGTATAATTACTAATACCCAAAATAAATAATTTTTAGACCAAATTTGGAATAATTTTAAAACAATAATTTATTCAATATTTTAATTATTTATTAATTAATAATATAAAAAACTATCCTCAATATAAGGTAATTTAGTTATTTTCAGTGTTTTGAGTCATATGCAGTCTAGCGATTTTTTTTTGAAAATTTACGGGCTCCAATAAAAGTAAGTTTTTGTCACATTCCATAATGTAGAAAGATAAAAGATTAAAGACCAAGTTGATCCTATAGTTTAAGCTAACATATAAACTAACACTAAACCAACGAATTGCATATCCTCCTCACATACATTCAGGGATGTAATCTGGGGGAAGGAGGGGGGGGGCGATTTAAAATTTTTTTAGCATGCCTCTGCAGTTATAAAAAAGTATGGGCACGTTTTATAATGGCATTTTAGCATATTAATATTTCTTATCATGAAATATACAAAATATTTTATAAACAATATGGTAGTATATTATTTACATTTTTAATTCACCAACTAACCCTATCTTATTTAGATTGGTTCTTAAAAACATCCAATAGAAATGGAGAAATATAATTATATCAGTTTTGAATAGCCGTTTACTCTCTATAACCCTGCTTCCCCACAAGTACTACTTATATCAAGTGAATAGTGCAATTATAAAGTTGATATCAGCCATTTACAAGACAGAGAACATGTAAACTAAAATGTTTGCATAAAAAAATTTGGAAACATACTCATTCAGATGCATATAGTTACTGAAAAAAGCAATGAAATCAAACAAAAGAAATACTGTAAGCGATTGCATAATCATATTGATAACAAATCAAGATATTATTTAATAATCATATTGATAAACAAATCAAGATAATATAATAAGATTTACAGGAACACAATGGTTTGATATGCCAAACTAGAATGGTAAAGTCATTTGATGGTAAATTCATCAATTTTTCTGATTGGCTAATTTAATAGCTATAAATTAAGAGTATGTCTTAAATATTATTAAAAAATTACTTGGAATTATCGATATATTAAATAAATATATAAATCGAATAATTACCTGCATATAAATTCATGTAAATAATGATATCATCCATTTTAACCAAAAATAGACCAAAATACTATCAAAATCTTACGATCAAAGGATGTCCTCCCAATGGTTTAGATATGGGATATATTTTTCATTCTAAGTATTCTTTTGTTAATAATTGAAAACATTTCCAAAAAAATACAGATGAAAATTGTAAACAATTTATCAATTAACAATCCAAAATCGCCATCCTGGTAGATGAATCTACAACATTGTCAAATAAACCAGCATTTTGGGATCCTCTTCTGGTGAACCTATTTCTAGAATGACTGGAATCAAAAGATGCAGAGTACTTGATCTTTTTAAATTCGCTGGGTTCTCTTAAATTTTTTTATTTATTTTGTTAGCGATAGTGCCAGTGTCATGATTGGGGTGCCTTTGTGCATAATATCCAAAAATCATACCCTGGAATTGTTTAAATCACAGTTTAGAGTTAGTGGTGTCCAATGGCAACACTTTAAAGCACAGGGGCTCAAGCTTCAAACACTTGCTAATTTCTATATTTCTATATTTTATAATATAGGTAATTACAAATCATCCTTAATTATAAGCAAAAAAATCTGGCAGAATCGGGTCTATATTTTTTTACTATGGGCAGAGTCGAGAGTAAAATAATTTTTTAGATTGCAGGGTAGACTGGGTATGACTAAAAAATTTGACCCATACAGGCTCTGACCTCTGCTATTTTTTTTATAATATAGAAAATTTTTTGATAAAATATATTAATGATAAAAAGAAGTTTAAAACATTTGTATAGAATAGAAGATAGACTTCATATTTTACGATTATTAAATATGGTCAACTCAACTCAATACAAGTTAATAACTTATAAGTAAATATTAAAATTTAAAAATAAATAATTTTTCCCACATTTTCTCGCTAATATGGGGATTTGATTTATATTATATTATTTATTTAAATTTTTGTTTTTATAAAAATCATTAAATTTTTACAATTATTTAGAAGTTGGAAATATTTATGAAAGCTTTTTGAGAGGTTTATTTATATTATAAATCTTTTGTAATATATGAAATAGATAGAAAATTTGAGCAAAAAATTTAATTGTTCATTAAAAATAAAATAAGTATAATACTTTCTTTCTCCACTTTAAAACTCAGGCTTACTTGTAGTGTTGTTAAAAAGCTCTATTTGGGTCGATTTTTGACCCTCTATTTGCCAAATCCCGAAGCTTAGATAAATTTTAGCGAAAATCTTAATCGGGTCGTTTTAAAAAATCGACACAAATGGGGCTTTTTAACACTTATAATTGTAAACTCAAATATTATATATTCTCTTCCTTTTTTTACCTTTCGCTATAATGTCTCTTAGTCGATTTACCATCATTCTCGTTCATAAAATTTTGGGAATTCTTTAAATTTCCTTCGCATTCATAAAATTTTTGTTTGGCACCAACGTTTATGTCTTTATTGCTAATACCATCACCATTCTTCTGATCACTATAATCGCCCGAACCGGTATGATCTAATACGACTCCCAGCGAAGTTGAACCTTTGGAAACTTTTTTCTTGCACATGATTCTATACTTTGAGGACGTGAAACCATTGTTGCCCATATTCGAGTCATTTTTGTCATTTGAGTTATTAGTAATGGCGCGATCGTTAGATATACCGATGATAAAGGTTGAATCGGGAGATAATAATCTACGATGAATGTTTTCGTCATTCGAAAGTTTTTGGAGAGATGTCGAGAGTGGGGGACTAGGGGATGGAGATGAAGATGGTGGGCTTGGTGGCGTTAAAACGTAAAAAGGTGGGTTCGTATTGGGATAAAAATAGTGGAAAGATTTTTGATATGGGAAACAAGGGTAATGAGCAGCTCTATTAACATTAACTATATTTAAATTATTATTTGAGCGATTTAAAATAATACTATTATTAGGGATTTTATCATCCGATAATCGATTAAACCCCGTGTCCTCATTTCTATTGTCGGAGTAGTTTAGATCATTTAAACAATTGAAATTTTTCTGTTTATAAGAGTTGAAGTTTCTAGGGTTCATCGAGGTAGACATAGTAGAACGTGAAGTGATCGTAGAAGTTACATTAGAAAGGTTATTGCTGCTAGAATTCCTAGCTCGCCGGTTCTGCGAAGTCGAACCGATTGAATTATTCGAGCATTTCTTTTCTTCTTCTGATTTAAATTTCATGGATAAAAGGTATCTTTGGTAAGGGGAAGGTGCTATAAAAGGGCTGTGGGGTGACAAATCATTTTTAATAGCGGCATCTGGTTGATGTGATTGTTTTTGAGTGTGGTTAGAATCAAGTCTTTTATCATCGTATTGAATCGATTCAAGGTCGATTGGAAGAGGTGAGAATGGGAAATTTGGCGAAAACGGTGTAAAATGATTTATATGAGTGGTATATTTTAATCGAGAGTGAGAAAGCGCATTTCCTTCATCTTATAATATATTAAATAAATTGAAAAATTTTTTAATCAGGAATTCCAATATAAAGAGTTGCAGGTTGTAAAATTATAGATTTTATAAGTATAAAATCAATATAATAATATTTTATTTTATTTAGGGAATAATATAAATATTTCCATATGGTTTATCAAGTTCAATATATAATGAATTTGGTGGAAATTTTATGGATATTAAATTAAAATTATTTTCAATAAGATTTTTGTAAAAATATTATTAATTGTTATAAAATTCAAGAGACTTTGTTTACCAAAATGATATGTTAATTATCAATTCTTTTTATTTTTTAAATATTAATTCACACTTCTATATAAAATGTTATTAAAAAGATCACGTGTTCCATGGGAAAATTTCTTATAATTTTTGAAAAATCTTGATAACCATTATATTATTTTTTCTTTATACATTATGTATTTGTTAGTAAAAATGTAAAAGTTTTAAACTTTTATAAAAAAAAAATATATAAATAAACATTTGTAAACAAGTAAATAAGGTCATTCAGTTTATTAACTTAGAATTTAAAAAAAAATGTGACAAGGGAAAGGTTAGGAAATATGCATATATTATTTTAATAAAATTACTAACTTTCTTCCTTTCTTTTCTTTCTTTCTCTCTTCCTTCTTTCTTTCTTATTTTCCATTCTTATTTTTTTAATATAAAAATGAAAAGTGAGTGTGTAACGATGAGATTCATTTATAGATGAGATGATAAATTATTGTGCTATGGGAAAAAAATTAGCAGTTTCGCGATAAATTTAACACCGTCCTTATTGCTTTTCAAAATATTTTATGATAAACAAATTAAAAACTTTAATCAAATAAATGAATATAATGAATTAAATTTAAAACCATATACGTATATGTATAATATGCTTATGATGAGATATGGATGGAAAAAAAAATAAAGATCGAAATGAAAGAGATGGAACACGGACCCGAAGTATATGAAATATAACTAAAATATTCTTTTTAAAACCGTTAATAAGGGAAATTAAGTGTGATTAAACTATTGAACTATGATATAAAGGAAATTTTAAATCTAAATCAGCGCTTTTTTAAAAAATTTTTAAGTTATGATTTTGCCGGAATTGTATTCAAGTATGTAAATATTATATTAATTAAAGTTCCAAAATATTATGGTAAATTGCATAAAAAATCGAAGTAAGTACTATACACGTGATTGAATTTCATTCCGGCAAAATGAGACCTTTCAATTAAAAAGCAGGTGCAACTACTAATAATTTAAATTTTTTAAAATTCCTTCCGAACCTGAATTTCTCCAAATCATACCCTGCAACAAACACATAGAATTTCCGAATATACATCTTCTGACATAATTACAAACAAAAATTCTTTTAAAATGAAAAAGAGGGACAAAAATTTCCTAAAATTTTAAAAAAAATGACAAAATCTTTGATACTTTAGGTAAATTTAAGTCGTAATTTTAAATGGTGAGAATATTAATTTCAAATATCAATTTTTTTTTTATTTAGATCAATTAGGATCTTGCATAAATCTATTAGACTAAACCCGAACCGGTCCAAAATTCTTATTGAACTAAGTTAGGTCCTATTTTGATTTTCATTCGTCTGTAATCGAACATAGATTCTATTAGATAAAAAAATATTGACAGGCACTGGATAAAAATACCTCTAATTAATCTATGTAGATTTGCCCTATCTAATATTTTAAAATCCCTTTTCTAAACATATTTAATATTTGGTAAAAATTGGAGTATTTTATTTCTATGGTTTTATCATGAACATGTATAACAATAATAGAGTAGATTATATTTTATACAATAACGACATAAAAATTATAACAATTCATTGAGTTAATTTTTCTTTTCCATATATGCTAATAATTAGTGGTCATTGGCTATTTCCAGATTCTTATTATAAAATTTCTCTCTCGACTTATAAAATTATTATAATATATACAGGAAAGACCGGTATCGGATGGCAAATATTTTACTCTTTTGCGATAAAAAAATCTTTTATTTCTCTTCAATAAAATTTAATAATTGTACCATAAAATAGCTTAAACAAGGCTATTTGTTTTTATCTCATATAGTGTGGGCCCTATTTAAAATTAGTGGGAGGTTAATTTTTTTGACAACATGCCTCAGTTCGGGTTATGGCAAGGCATATGAGCTGAAATGGCGAACATAAATATAAGAAAAACATACATCTAACAAAATAGATATCTTATAGGTAGGTATTACATTTAAATTACAAAAAAAATCACTCTAAACACATTGGGTAGATATAATAGGAGACATATTGACACGCGTATAACCATTCCGAAATTATACATTGAGTCCACTTTTCTCCCTTCCTGCGTTTTCCAGACAACCTTCATTTTTTCTTGATTTGATTAATTATTTGTAAGGAGACGAAATTATTATTTAAGCCCTTTTGTTTGTCAATTAATGATCATGAATTTCTATGCAAGATAAACACTTTGGAACAAGTTTGATTTGAAGATTATAATTATACTAGCTAATCCCGTCAAGAATGACGGGGTTGAGGGGTAATTAGTTAGTGTGTGTATATGGTCATAAATATACTTTATTAATATATTTTATGAAAATATTAAAATTTAGGAAAAAAAAGAGGTAAATTTGTGAATCACATCTCATAAGATATTCTTAATTTCTGATTCATCCATCATCGAATAAGGGAAAAGTATGATGACCCGTCTTTCTTGATGGGCTAAATAAAAATATAATAACTAAGAGTACCAGAGCTACCGTTAGTCAGCATTGCTGAGCCGGTTAAAAATGACGGGGAATAAGAATTTTATCCTTACTTTTATGATAGTTGTTACCTTTTATTTTAAAATAATATCCAATTTTATTCTTTATATCCCCCTCCCACCTTCAGGTCAAACTGTTTTTAGTCAAAATATATTTAAAGCTTTTACTTGATACCCATATCAATATTATTTGTTAAAATATTACTGATCATCTATGCTTAATATTTAATATTAAAAAATTCCCAAGCCAGGTCCAAGGCCATAATAATTTTGAAAAAATTTCCCAACCCCAACCAAAGATCATAATAATTTTGGTAGTTGAGAACTGGAATAAAATATTTTAAAAAATCATTATGAATTTAAAAATACAATTCAGATTATATGGGCCATGGTTTATTTGTTTTAGGTCAATGTTTGATCCATAGTTAATAATAAAAAAATTCCCAAGCGTCCAAGCTGATAATATATATTTAAAGCTTTTATTTGTTACTCATATCAATATTATTTGCTAAAATATTACTAATCATGCCTAATATTTAATATTAAAAAAATTCCCAAGCAAGGTCTAAGGCCATAATAATTTTAAAAATTTCCCCAAGCCCAACCAAAGATCATAATAATTTTGGTAGTTGAGAACTGGAATAAAATATTTAAATAATCATAATGAATTTAAAAATACATTCAAAATCAGATTTTATGTGCTTAGGTTTTTTTTATCTCCTGGCTTGGGAAAAAAATTTCAAAATTATTATGTCACAAAAATATGGTAATATACGGCAAAATTTTAAAAATATCAGCTAATTAATTCAATTCAATATGGTAATAAACGGAAAAATTTTAAAAATATCAGCTATTAATTAATATATATATAATTAATATTTTTAACTTATTATAATTCAAGTCGGTGCATACTTAAAGTGTACTTTTGAAACGGGAGGTTTGTAATTCGATACTGGTAGATGGCAAAAAATTAACAACACTATATAGACTCTTTAAATTTTAAATACATTTAGAAGATACGAAAAGGATCATGTTTTGATTATGGAGATTGATTGAAATTTATATTCCTAACAAAATTTAATATTTTAGAATTGTGATGGTTACCAATAACCGATAAAAATCCGCTCCTTCAATTTTTCAAAAATTAACCATAGATAGCAGAAATAAAAAATACATATTTTGATTTTTTTTTAGATATCTAGCTCTGAAGGGTATATATAGATATATTTATGTTGCTCGTAAAGTCAGTAATTCACTACCTCATTAAACGATAAGGATCCTACTGCAGGTTCACTTAAGGAAACCTTTAAGAATTTTCCCCGAAATGACTGAGCTCGATCAATTCGTGATAAAAATTAATATAAATATATAATATATTGTTTATTTTTTGTAAATTTTAGAAGAAAAATGCAGGGTTCTGAACCCAAATTCGGGTTCAGGAATTTTAAATCTATTTAGCGGAACTTTTGATGACAGGAACTTAATCTAAAACAAAAGAGGTCTGAAGCCCGCCCAGGTCCATATTACCCTGGTTTCAATGGGTTGCCCATAAATCGGTCTCTGGGTCTGAGGTCTCAAAATACCCAACCAAGCAATTTTTAATTTCTGAACCCGAATTCGAGGCCAAGATTCTGGAAAAACGGAACATGGGTTACAAAATATTTGTAACGAATTTAATTTTATGTAGATATTTTTTTCTAAGCCAACCAAATCTTTTACATCCTTTATGGCTCAAAAGGCCTGGTTTTGTCGGAATCAGGCGCGTACGCAGGAATTTGATCTGGGGGGGGGGGGATAATAAATGTTTTTAAGAAATAATATTGTTAATTAAAAATAATAAGCATAAATTTATTAGGATTAATAACTTTTCTAATACACAATTTTAAACTAATGTGAATTAAAAAAATTATATATATAAACCGGCATTGAAAAACTATAAAATAAATGTTAATTATTAAATATAAAATGAATATAACCCACGATATGAATCACTTAAATGACCCAAAATTGAAATTTGAATTTTTTGAGCTTTTAAAATATATAAAGTATAAAAAATTTAAATGTTGGAAATATAAATTAATACACAAAAAGTTTCTTAGGAATAATTGTATTTTGTATGTTTTGAGCTAATTTTTCAATTATCAATCCTTGCTTGGCGTTAAATGTCTATGAATATTCAAAAGATCCAAATCATTCAATCTACTTTCAGATGTTGTATT